CTCCCTGAGCCAAGACACACGGGGGTGGGCCTAGGCCCTACCCCAAAGGAAACAAAAGACTCTGATGACACCCTATGGAAGACCCCACCATCCAGGGGGGAGCAGAGAAGATATATGACAGATAAGGTTTTAGTGGGGGGAGAAGGGAAATGGGATTGTCATGCAAAACAATCCTGTTCCTAATTCAAATAAGAAAAGTTGGAAAACCAAAACATGACTCCAAATAGATCAAAGACCTCAACATAAAACCAGATCAATGGATGGAGCTAAAAAATAAATAAATAAATAAAAAATAAAAAAAAGTCATCTTGAGAGAGGTAGCCCAGATCCCAAAAGACAAATATGGTATGTATTTTACTTATTTGTGGATGCTAGCTCTTAAGTCTTCAATAAGCAGGCTGCAATCCATATAATCATGGAAGTTAGGTACAGAGTAAGGGACTAAAGGGCAGTGATAAATCTCCCTAGGAAGGAGACATAAAATAGATAATTATGGATGGACAAGGTTGGGGACTAGAATGGGAGGATCAAATGAGGAGGAGGGAAGACAGAGGTGGATGACAGAAGGAATACGGGGAGGGACATCTAAAACTAGGGGCATTTGAGGGATGGTATGGAACCCAGTAGGAAGCTTCTCAAAATATACACATATACAAACATGATCTAATTAGAATTGCCAAACAATGGGATTTTGGTTTTGTGATTTTTGTGGTGTATCTGTGTGCATAAAACGTGTATCTCTGAGTCTGTATTGTGTCTCTTGTTCTTTTTCTTTGGCTTTTCTTGTGTATTTTGTTCTAGTTTGTTTGGTTTTGTTTTATCTCATTTTGTTATTAGTTTTTTGATGTCTGTTTTCAAATGAGGGACAGGGCATGAACTTCAATGGGAGCAATTGAAGGAGGGGAAATCATAATCAGAGTATATGTATGAAAAAGGTCTATTTTCAATTTAAAAAGTAGAAAAATTACAAGCATGTACACAAGTCTGAAACATTTCATATAAAGCAAGAGAAATAGCCTAGAATTCTTTCATGTAACTCTATAGTCTATACCTGTTGACATGCAGTGTGGTTTTATTTTAGTAATATGATTTACTTCTCTGAAATATGTAAACTAATGTCTTTTGTTTTCTTATATTTTAACATACTTTTGTTACATAATTTCCAATTCTGTATTTGTTTATACATTTATTGCTTGTATATCTAACGGGTCTGTTCCTTTCTTTTCAGCTGTAACTACTCTCTGGTTTATTATTTTTATTTCCTCTAGTATTACAAAGAATTGCCCTCAATTTTGTTAAAAGCATGTTCATTTTCTGATTTGTTGTATTCATAGTTTATTTACAGTGAAACCTCAGTTTATTCACCAGTGTTTTCTTGGCACTGAGAACAGGGGCATGATCAAGGCTGGGGGCTTGTCTGGGAATGTCTGCAACAGTGCAGTTACAGATGCATCTTTACCCTCACAATCAAACACAGTCCTTTCCAGTTGGAGGGACTTACCTTTAAGTCCATGGCTCCTTAGACAAGGAGTTTCCAAGTTTTTAATCTGTTCACTAACCACCTTCTTTAATTCCCTTCAGGAGCTTCTTCAGAGGTAGGTAGTGCAGAGCCCTGGTCTCCTGCAGTGTCCCACAGCTGCTCCTGCAGCAGAGCCACCAGCTCCTTCAGTATTTCCTTTATGTCATTTCTGAGGAGTCCCCTTAGCTGTGTGTGGTGCCAATCAGCCTGCTCCTTCATGTCCTCCTTCCTTTTCACCAAATGATCTTTTCCATCACATTTCCTTTCTTTTGGTTCTTGGGACATTTTCTGCTGAAGAGAAAATGAAAATTAATTTACTTTGAAATAATAATCATCATCATGTAAAGGGGATAAAAAGCAACAACTTAGGGAAGATTACACAAAACATTTAATATTTAAAACACAAATGGTTCTGTGGTTAATAGTGAATGCTGCTCTTGCAGAGGACCTGGGTTCAGTTTTCAGCACTCCAGGGGATCTGATGCTTCTGGCCTCAGTGGACATGACCCCCATATATATATGCGTATGTGTACATGAATA